GGGAAGGGAGAAGGAGATGAGGAGAGAACGAGAGGGCAGGGGGCACTGATTGTGTAGGACACCCTGCTGCAATCCAGCTGCCACAAATCTAACCCTGGAGCCTCACCAGGGATCTCCCGGGAGAGATCCACGCCAAGCTCTTCTCATAACACACATTTCCACGAAATATTTGGCCATCCCTTAGATGCACGCCTTCTGAAAATTTTCCACAGCCAAATAAACTGATCTTCTGATGCTATTTTCTGCAAACTAGTTGCTGTTCTCTCAGATCCTTCCAAAAAATAATAATAATAATAATAATCTGCTTTCCCTCTTAAAATCCCAAGGAATTCCCTGTCCTCCCCGTGAGGCCTCTCTGCACCTGCCCAGCCTCACAGGCCTCTTCTTGCTTGCACCCTCTGAGTCAGCTATGCCGGGCCTTGCAAGGAGTGTGCAGAGTGGCCAGAGTTCTGCAGTTCCTGTGCTTGGCAGGTGCAGCTTCCTTTACTCAGAGCCTTCCGCCTGCCTCCTCCCCAACCCTCCATGGTCCTAGTATCCTAGTTTCTTCACAAAGTTACTTCTGTGTCACACCCTAAGACCTCTTTGCTGCCCTGCCCCTTGGGTCCAGCAGACCCTGCTGCTGACAATCTTGCTTATAGCACCCATGTCCGTCCACCCACCATCCCCTACACAAAGGGGAGGGGGCGGCATGTCTGGCTCACCACCCTGGACTGCCTGGCTGCCTTAGGATCTTGAGAAACGATTGGCCTTGAGTTGTAGACATTGCAAAATTCCAGAAGTTTCCAAGGAGGCCAACTCTTCTGTTCACTCTAAGGTACAGCCTGACCTGTTAGCCTTGCTTGGGTAGAATCCCACTGGGTGGGCTGAGGCTCTGATTGGCATTAGGCCTAAGACTGTTAGCATCATGGAGGCCGCCCCATGGTTACTGCACACAGAACTCTCCTCCACCCTGCCTGCTTGCTGCAGGCCCCCTTGGGCCTCCAAAACATTCCCAAGGCTGGAGTCCACCTTGCAAGGATTCTAATGTAACCGGTCTGGGGTGCAGCCAGAAGATGAGGATTGACTGCCTGGCTGACTCCATCATGACATGGTGATTAAGCTGCCATTTGTGACGCCGGTAACCCTTCTGGGGACCAGTTAGAGTCCTGGCTGCTCCAATTGAGATCCAGCTTCCTGCTAATGGTTTAGGAAAAACCATAGAAGATGGTCCTAGCATTTAGTTCCTTGACACCCATCTGGGAGACCCAGATGAAGTTCCTGGCTTTTACATGGTTCAACCCTGGCTATTTTGGCTTTTTGGGGAGTGAATAAGCAGGTGGAAGATTTGTCTTTCTTGATCTCCTCCACCCTTTCTGCAACTCTGACTTGCAAATAAATGCATAAATCCTCAAAAAAAAAAGAAAGCAAGCATTGCTTAAATGACCTCATCAGTGAGCAGCTGGCATCGCGCACCCTGCTCCTCACATCAGAACTGTGCGGAGAGCTTATGAAACCCATGTCCTGGGCCCCTGGGGTCTGGGGGTCCCTGGACCCTGTCCCAGTTTGGAGGTAAAGGCAGGGTCAAGTGAAACTTCGTGCTCTGTACTTTGCACATGCGAGACCTGTGGTGGACGCGCCTGTGGCTGCGTTTGTGCCCTGATCCTGCAGTTTGTTGCCTTGACTAGGCCCAGTGGTGATCCCTATTAGACAAGGATGTGCTGGCAGGATCTGAGTCCCCCATACAGGAGAAGTCACCTCTTAAGAAAATGATCTGTTTCTCTCTGCCCCATCGAGACAGAATTGCAGGGTCAGGTTTATGCCTGGGGTCCATTTTTTTTTTTTTTAATTAAGGTCAAATTCATGAAACATAAAATCAATGATGCTAAAGTGAACAGTTCAGTGACGTTGAACACATTACAGTGGGCCAACCAGCACCCTTGTCTACTCTCAAATCATTGCATCATTTCGAGAGGAAACACCAGGGGCTGGCATTGTGATGCGGTAGGTTAAGCCTCTGCCTGTGGCGTTTACATCCCATTTAGATGCCAGTTCCCGTTCAGGCTGCTCCATTTCTGATCGTGCTCACTGCTAATGCTCCTGGGAAAGTAGCAGAAGATGGCCCAGGTCCTTGGAGCTTTGCACTTATATGAGAGACCCCTCTTTCTCTCTCTTTCATTCTTTCTCTATAGCTCTGCCTTTGAAGTAAAAAGAAATGAATCTTAAACAAACACAGAAACCCTGTGTGATCATTATCCATCCCCCACCGCCTATCCTGGACATTTCGTAGGAATAGAATCATGTGATGTGTGGCATTTGCATCTGCAACCTGCACATCGTTTCCTTTTATAGCTGAATACTATTCCATAGGATAGTCATAGAATGGACAGTCTTCCCTCATGGGGACGGGATTGATTCTGAGACTTCTAAAAACGCCAAGTCCATGGAGGCTCATAAAATGACTTTTACGTTTAACTTGTACACATTCTCCTGTGTTCTCAGGGGGAGGGAGCCTTTTTTGTTTCTGCCAAAAAATCATTTTAAAAGAATATTTATTTATTAATTTAAATATCTGTTACATGGGGTGTGTGTGTGTGTGTCGGTGGGGCGGTGGGCAGGGGAGATCTATCAGCGGGTTCGCTCCCCGGATGATCATTGGACACAAACGGACTAAGCTGAAGCCAAGAGCTAGGAGCTTCTGCCGGAACTCCCACATGAGTGGCAGGGGTTTGATCACATGGGCCGCTGCTTTCCCCAGGAGTATTATTAGCAGGGAACTGGTTGGGAAATGGAATAGCTCGGACTCTGTCATGCCCATATGGGATAGCAGCATTGCCAGAGGTGACCAGCTGTTGTGCCACAAGGCTGGTCCTTGCCAAAAGCCATTGGGATATTTATAGCATCATTTGCAGGCCATCCAAAATGATCAACTTAAAAATGAGTCTGCTCTGGGTTTATTGAATTCTGAATCCTGCCTGCAGTTGCCTTGGCAGGGCCAGAGCAGATGATTTCCACGGCCGGGCGTCTTTCCCTCACTCGGCCCCACCCTGCCGGAAACCATCTGTAGGTGATTTGCAGTACTTAACGCAATACAAATAGTGGTTATAGTGTATTGTTTAGGAGGTGAGAAAAGGAAGGGAAGACACGTTCAGTTCAAATACAACTTTTTCCAGACATTTTCAGGCTGCATTTGGCTGAACCCATGGATACCAAGGCTGATGTTATAATTTGTGCTGCCATTCCTCAGTTGATGAGCGTGGAGACTGTCGGGAAATCAGGGCATTTTCAGCTTCTTTATCTCTACACTCCTTCAAACATTGGCCAGCTGTGTTCCTAACTCTTCAGCCTTGGCGGGCAGGGGTCTTGCCCTTTTCAACACCAGGGTTTCAAGAGGGTGTTTGTGTGTCTTTGGCCTATTTCCTGCTGCACGTTCAACCTGCACTGCCTTTTCCATCTCGGCCTTATGTCTTGCTGGTGGTTCTGGTCCAATATGTGTACTGTCCCCCGTTATAGCATGCTCAGCTCAATTTGGGGCATGAGGCTGCAGGCTTCAGATGAGGGCTTGGAGTGATGCAGGAACATAATATATCTGCAACGGTTATCATAAAATAATAAACAAAAATAAAGAAAGAAAAATGAGGTTTTACACATTTCCTCCTCAAACTTTATACAGATGCCTGGGGGGGAAGGGTTTCTCATAGACAGGCCTCACACAGACTCCCCTTGCAGCCTCCTTCTCTTTTCTTTCCCCAGTCTCTGCCATTCAGGGTGTAAAGGTGTCACCAAACAGCTCCATTTACTTGGAGCTATGTGAACTCTGTCTCCTTTCATGCTCATAAAACATGCCCTGGAGAGGGAGGAAGTGGGATGCAGGTGTTTCAGACTGATTGGGTTTTGTCTCCATGAGAGGAAGTCTAGCATATTTTGAGGCCAGTAGACTCAAAGGTCTACTATATTTTTAAAATAGCAGGTAAATGGCATTCTGATAATGATGACACTGGTTGTCCCAACATCATGGAATAGACTCCACCCCTTTGTGCACTGGCAGTGTGATGGGGCCTGGACATCCTCGATGATCCTGGGAAACCTGGTGATTCCTGCGAGGTTAGCCACGTACTCTTTTCTGATAAATCCTACTGGCACCCCAAGTTTGTTTGGTGTTGCATTGCTTCTTAAATGCTTGCTTGTAGATAAGGGATTGGAGATTCGGTGTTGGAACTTGCTGAGTCCTTCTGAGCAGAAAGGGAATGTGTCTCAGCTTACATTTGACAAAGATCTCTCTGCTTGCTGAGTCAAATCATCCAAGATGGCAAAGAAGAGACGAATGAGCAGGTTCTGTCCACTCTGCGGGTCATGGGGGATGAAGACATGTGCCTGGCTGGAAGCAGCTGAGGTCACGAGAAACACTAAACTATGGGTGCATCTGAAAGAAATGGTAGTTTCTGCTGGAAGGTAGGATGCCAAGAACAAGAGAGGGACAGAGAGTCAAGGATGACTTCAAAACTCCTGGCTTTCGTGCCTGTAAAGGTGGAGTTGACATTTTTTTGCAGCAAGGAAGAATCCAGGGGGAACAGATTTGAGGTGGGGGTGGAGCAGGGCTGCTGTTGAGGGATGTTTTCCAAGTGTGGATCTGACAGCCGGTGGATGCTGCATGAACAGTCAGTGTCTGAGCTTGGAGGTGGACAGTGGGTGTGGTAGCAGGGGCAGTGAAGACCAAGAAGCATGGGACATGTTGGCTTGAGGCTCACTCTCTCCCTGCTCTCTACAGGGCTAGCAGAGAAAGTGAAATGAGAGGAGAAATCGCATGTGGAGACAAGAAGGAGCTTCAGAAATTGTGCTGCAGAAGGGGGAGCCTAGGACCCAGAGTACAAGGTGGTTTGCCCAAGGCTGCCAGTTAGTGGCAAAGGCGGGACAGAGCCAGTCTTCCAGGCTTCTGGCCACCTTTCTTTCAGGTTTTGAGTGTTCTGCATTTGGGCTGGTGATGGGCAAACAGACTGAATGGTTCTCAATGTGTCTCTCTCCAGGTCACCATCCTTGTCAGCCTGGCCCTAGCTTTCCTTGCCTGCATCGTATTCTTGGTGGTTTACAAAGCCTTCACCTACGACCACAGCTGCCCAGAAGGATTTGTCTATAAGGTAAGAAGCTTCTGGCAGGCGAGTGGCCCTGGGCTAGCATCAATTTCGATTAGAGGGTTTAGTAAGGTCTTTGTTGGCACAGAAGTTTTGGGTCTGGCAATCTCCCTATATATTGCTTAAAATGGAATACGTACCTGGAAAGGTATTTTCAAGTATGCACAAAGGATTCTGTCTCAAGTAGGCAGTGGAGACACCACTCTCTAAGGTCAGTAGTTGGTCTGGCTTTCACCAGCACATCCACAGTGAGAGAATACCAGTTCACTTGATGCTTCATCCTTGGCCACCTCTGCAGGCACGGAGCTCCCTGGCATGGTGGATGCATCCTCACATGGGCCACAGAGATGTGAAGACAGGGAACAGGTGCTGATGAGGCTCTCTACCCTACTCTTGCAGCTAAGCTTCTTTCTCCCTGACTCTGCTCTGAGGACAAGCGTCCCCTTGCAGACTGAACTGCCTCTGAGTCTCATTTTTCTTGCCTGTAAAATGTGTGCTGATACTGCCAACCTATGAGGCTTTAAGGAGCAGATTTAAGTCAACAAAATTAGCAAAGGGTCTGCTAGATAACATGCGCTCAGCGAATGTTGCCAGCAATCAAGAAAGGATCTGCCTTAGAGCTGAAACAGGTGCTAATATTAAGAACTGTAGGTATCACTTACTGAGTATATATTTTAATGTCCGGCTCCTGGTCCAACACTTCCTTAAACATGTCACTATACATGTACTCCATGGCACTGTACAATCATTCTTAAAAATAGGGTATGTCTCTCTCATAGAAACTAAGGCTGCTTTGTGAAAAGAGTGTTCCAAGACACCACAGCTACTCTGTTCCGAAGGAGGAGGTTTGCACAGTGATTTTCCCAGCCTGAAGACATGTGTCTTTCATTTCTGCTGTTAGCTTCCTATGATTCCAATCTTAATCAGAATCAAGATTCACAAAGATTGCCACACGGTGGGATCTAGTCGAATGAATTGCATATGAGATGTTCCTCTACAAGGGAGCTCTCTGTGGTGTGAAAAGAAATAATAAAAGCATGGGTATTGAGCATCTTCTAAGATGATACACTCAGACAGAGGAAAAGAAGGGTCACCTCTGTGTGACGGAAAGGGAGATGGAAGATGCTTGTTTATTTTGTCACATAGAAATTCTGGGTGTCAGAGCTTAGCTTCACCCATTTATATTGGCTTACAGCTGGGCAAAGTCATTTCACACAAAGCTGATTTCCTAGTAAAAAACAGACTGTAATGCATTGTCCAAGAACTGAAATTAAAAAGCAGAATGGTTACATAGGCATACTTTTCCTCAGTGGCAAAAATCAAAAACCTCCAAAGTTGAGCTGTTTGTACTATGGAGATATCGCAGAGCTGCAGAGAAAGCTGAGTTCATTCAGTAGTCAAGCTTTTTGCAGTCACCTTGGCATTATCTTATGACAGTTCTACATCTATGTAATAGATCATTTGTATCTATAGGATGCAGATATATAACTTGGATGTTAGAAGATGAGACTTTTGACATGAGAACAGAAAGGATACAATGAAGGAAATACATAGCCATTACCTGTGGGCAGCATCCCAGAAGAGCCACTGGGTCGTGGGTGGGAGGATCTGGTGTCTACCAGAGTCACCCAGTCAGAAGGTGGAGGAAGTTATCTTTGAATCGTTATTGGTGTCAGGATCCTTCTAAGTGATAGCTTTGGTGATGATGGTGGTGATGGTGATGGTGTTGGGGCTAAGGAAGGCCTTCTTTGTGGCAGGGGCCCAGGTTGGGTTGTTGCCTCCTGCTTTTTGAATGAGGGCCTATTGGGGCTGTGGCCCCCAGAGGGGGTGGATGAGTGGCAGGTGGGGGACGAAGCAGCCAGTAGAAGGATGACTAACTCTTGTCTCTTTCTTCCTAGCACAAGCGCTGTATTCCAGCCTCCCTGGATGCTTACTACTCATCCCAGGACCCTAACTCCAGAAGCCGCTTCTACACAGTCATCAGCCACTACAGTGTGGCCAAGCAGAGCACTGCCCGGGCCATCGGGCCCTGGCTGTCGGCAGCTGCTGTCATCCATGAGCCCAAGCCACCCAAGACCCAGGGCCATTAGAAGCCTAGCCCAGCCAGAATAGGGAGGAGGGGAGTGGGGGCGGAGATGGAGATGGGGGGGCCCCCGTTGATCAAGCCAAGCTCCAGTTATAAGACAATACTGTACTCCTGGGAGATGAGGGCGGGGGTGGGCTGGGGGTGGGCGGGAGGGAGGAGCTCTCCTAAAATCTCGTGCGCTGGAGTCGTCTGAATCGATATTTCTTTTTTGTCCCTTGGTATCGTTGATTTGTCCCGAGTCAGGCTCATGTACAAAGGCATGTTTCGTGTTGAGTGTTCCCATGTAAGATATTTTCAAAGCCACTGCTTATTCTTTGTTAGGAAAACTTGTTTTGTTTGTTTGTTTTGTTTTTCTTAAAAAAAAAAACAAACAGAAAGACAGGAAGAAGTAGGAGGTACCAAAGCATGGAACCATAAAGAGTGCGGCTTCTTAGATGGGAAAAGTGGCAGCTTCAAGTGGGCTTCCGAGGGAAGGGCCCAAGTGAGTGACACAGGATGGAATCCCGTCATTTGCTGTTGGCCTGCAGGGGACCGAGGAGAAGGCTGAGTTGCGAAGAGAACTGATTTTGGCATTTCTAAGCCCAGGATGAGCTCAAGCCAGACTAAAGCATACTGACCACAGATGCATTTTGCAGAACTGGCACAAACTGCACAGAATCCTTGCTGTGGCTTGGGCAGACCCACGTGGCTGAGCTCTGTGGTACTGTGTTTTGCAGAGGCTGATAATGACCTTGGGACATGGGCAGATTCAATTCTTTTTTTTCCCCCCTTGTTTATTCTAGCTCTCTGCCAGGACACTGTCCATGTTTACAAGACAACAGTGGTAGAAAAAGGAAGAGGACAAGGAGGCTGGGGGAAGAAGGAAGACCCCGGATAGGCTTGGTAGAAGCAAAGGCACCGAGTTCTGAATTTGTATTTGTTGACCCCCAAAGTGCTAATCACAATAGGAATAAGAATAGTGGGATTTTAACTGAGACCCTCAGGAGATGGGCAGGAAGAGACTCAATGACTGACGCTGCAGCAATGCCAAACCATTTAGAAAGAAACTTGGGGAAGGTCCCTGTGTGTGTCCATGCTCTTGTGCTGAAGGGGATATTTGTCCAAGTCCCCAGTGGGATTCCAGAAGGCAGCCTCTGGCACACAACAGGCCTTTTCCTTTTCGTTGCCCTAGATGCTCTCCCATGCTGTACTCTCACAAGCTTTTCAAGGAGGCCCATTCTATGGGGATGTTGGCTTCAGGCGCAGTCCAGCCCCAAGTGGCTGTGAGAACTGGTTATTGGGTTTTGAGAGGTGCTACATTTTCCCCACAAGTGTCTGACAGGCCATTTAAAGGGTATAGCTTTGTGGCTTGCTATGTTGCCAAAATCATCATATACAGCAGCTGGGTAATAAGACTAGTCTAGCTCAAATTATTCTACCAAATGCTCTCATCTGGTTTTGCTCCCTTTCCCACTCCACTCGACCACCCCTCGCCTCCCCATCACCTTGCGTCACCTGTAAATTCATTTGTCATCCAAAGCAGAATAACAACTGTCCCTCGCCAAACTGCTGAGCGCTTCATAATTTCGTGGTGTATTTTTGTCAGTAGGTAGCAGAGGCTCAAGTATTTTTTGGTGTAATTCTTGAAATTTTCTGACAGGAAACAAATAAAGATAAATGTGTCTGAGAGTCTTGGCCTTCCTCTGTGACCTTTCTTCTTGTCAGCTGGCTGAGCCCGATGGGGAAGGGCTAGGGGTCAAGGAGCCACAGAGGTGAGGAGGACCCTGGGAGTGGAGCATCCTGTTGGGCTGGCATCAGGCTGCTGCGTGGCAACTGGGACCTGTAAGGATGCTGAAGACCTAGAACAGGAACCAAGAGACACCTGTTACATGGCTTGATGTCCACTGATGGGTAGCCTGCCCAGGACCAGCCTGGGCTGTGGCACAGTGTCTTCATCTGCCTTCTGTGGCCATCAGAGATGGGCACAAACTGGGCAATTTATGAAGAAAATGGCTTTATTTTTCACTGTTCTGGAGGCTGCCAAGTGCAAGTTCAAGGTACTTGCATCTGGCCAGGATCTTCTTAATTTCCCATGGTGCAAGGGCAGTGAGAGAATGAAAGAGAATGGAGGGTCCCCCTTGAAGCCCGGAGCTCTTTGATAATCAACACTGGTCTCATGCAGGAGAGGAGTGGGGTTCGCATGGTCTGGTCACCTCTCATTGCCTCCCCCCCCCCAGTACTATCACCTTGTGGATTAAAGTTCTGACTTCCTGTTTGCGTTTTTGTGAGACACAGACTTACATGACAGTACAGTCACTGCCCTGATGTCTGGGGGAAAGATTCAGATGTGGAAAGGGATCCTGGCAAAAGAAGGGTCTGATGGTACCTGGGGTATGCAACGAGTGGTAAGCTGACAGCTTGAGGAGAAAGCTAATTAGCCCAGGGAAGACTCAGGTAAGAGTTAATGACCTTCGTTCAACAGATGCATGGACTGAAGCTCAACGGACAGGTGCTGGAACCCACTCAGGTTTTGTGACTCCATTGCTTCTCATCATGGACTGCTTCTAGTTTGTGTCAGACCCTGGCACACACCATCAAGGGCAGAAGTCCTTCCTCAGCAGTCAGATCACCATCAACGTTAACATGCATTGGCTGATTCTCAGCTAGAACCTGGGACCAGTGGTTGATGTTAAGAACAGCAGATGCTTGAGGTCCTGATGCTCTGTGCTAAGAGCTTAGTGTTTTCTACATTTTGGTTCACATAACCCTCCCACTTGTCCCAGGAGATAGGGATGCCCACCTGCCATGCCACTGCCATCAGCCTGGATGTCGCCAAGCTAGCTTGGAGATAAAGAGATGGATCAGTGAAGCAGCTTGCTTGGGGCTGTGCAGCTGTAACCCACACCTTTCCGTAGCTGTGAATTAACCACCGTGCCATTCAGCAAAGCCACACATCCATGCATTTTGCTCTTCAGCATACAGTCTGTGTCCACACATCTTCTCTATGTTAAATAGCATACCATCTGTGGAAGAGGCCAGGATTGGAAACCAAGGCTCCAAGCTGACACTGGGAGAGGGGAGGAAGGGGGAAGGAAGCCAGCATAGCTTCCCTTCCTTTCCTGTTGGGGCTGCACAGGCTGTGAAGCATTGGGCATTGGGCTGCCTCATCCACACCCTCACAGCCTTGGATTCCCAGTCTGCCTTTAGAGACAGTGAGCTGGAGAAAACAGGGCAGGGATCCGGGTTGGTTGATCCACAGGGCCAACAGGTAAATACTCAATGTTTTCTCAATTATACAGAGTCAACTAAAGATTGAAGGAACACATGTTTACTCTATAATGGGTGGATTTGCCACTCCATTGCCTGAAAAAAAAAAACAAGCTGTCATTATTTCTTTTCTGGAATGGATAGGTTTTTGATAACAACCAGAAATAAGGGCAAATGGATGGGGTTGAGACTGGGTGATCGATACTTTTGGTTTTTAGGTATTATCTTGAGACCGCACACCTTTGCTGGCAGTTAATGACTTTCTCTTCAGAAAGAAGAAAAGTGAGACCTCACTCCCCTGAGTTTACAATTAAAATAAATAAATCTTAAAAAATGAGGTCCACCTTTCCCACATCAGAGCCTATGAAACGTTGTTATAAAATTAAATGTAATAAAAAATATATGTAAAACAAACAAAAAAACAAGAGCTTGTTCTCTCTCTGAAATAAATAAATAATTAATTTTTTTTCCCTGAAACAAAAATTAGGTCCAACCTTTTTCAAGAGCAAAATTGTTCAGGAGAGGTCATGAGCAGGAGAGGTGATGGGCATAGGAACTGAGTCTGGTGCGAGCCCTGAGGAGGAGAGAGCATGGCAGTGTGGGTGTCCACCCTGGGTTCTTGGAGGAACTGGCCTTAGAGCTGGGCCTTGGAGGGTAAGTTATACTTCTTCAGTCATCATGATTCCGGAGTATGCAAAGAAGGCAGCATAGAGGTCCCCTCCCAGGTCATGGGAAGAACAATGGAAAGCAGTGCAAAGGAGGGAGAGCCCAGGGCTTCCTCGCACCAATGCTGTGAGAGGCTGGATGCAAAGCTGACCCAGGCGCATGCGGCCTGCCATGCTCTGCTGGGGTTCCCAGGCCAGGCTGGGGGTGAGGAGGTGATGGAAATGAGAGAATAGACAACAAATGCTTGTTACACAGAGAGAGAAGGAGACAGAGATCTTCCCTCGGAAGGCTTACTCCTCGGATGTCCACAATGGCCAGGTCTGGGCCAAAGCCTCTTCCATAGGAATGCAGGGACCCAAATGTTTGGGCCAGTCTCTGCTGCTTTCAGAAGTGGAGCAGCAGGAATTTTGTTAACCGTATAGGATGCCATTGTTACAGGTGGGGCCTTTTCCTGCCGTGCCTCAATGCAGGCCTCTCCTGTACGTTTTTGACACACACATTCCAATCTTTTTAAAAACTCCTTTATGTTCTGGTATCACAGGGTTCTCTTCGATTTCCTCCTTTCTAGTCCTGCAATCGATAGTGCCTACCATAAACCCTGGTTCTGTTTCTGGGAAATGGTATTGAGAAGCCAAAATCTGCATATAGGAGTATACTTGTCTCCAGAGCATCCTGGTATAGAGATGGGAGGATATGCATGTATCTTACCTATTCAGCTGCCTGCCATCTATCTAATATTGAATCTGAATATCTGTCATCTACCTTCTAAATCCAACAAATAACCATACTACCTTCAGCATTGATGCACATCTTTCCCCATCTATTTCTGCAGGATCTTGGCTCCTTTTAAAGATCTCAGTTCCCCAAGCACCTATAGAACTGTATCACATAATACAATGTTATTAACAATAAAAAAAAAGTTAAAAAACAAATGCATTAAAAACAGAACAAATTGTGGATGGAGACTGTTTATGAGAGAAAAATCATTGTTATTATATTAAATTAAACTTACATGAACAAATAATATGGAACTATTTTAATTAGAAACTAATGTGTGCTGTGAATTATTAAAACTCATTTAAAATTAAAAATAAATAAATAAATAAAGATCTCAGTTCCTAGCCCACTCCAAGTACCACCAGGCACTCCTAGGTAGCCTCGCCCATGCTCCAGCTCTACTGCTTGGCTGAGCTCCGTGATCATCCCAGACCAAGCCCCACTGTAACTGGAAACTCCACACTTGCCCCAGCATCCTTGCTACTTGTGGCTGCCTTGAGCTCTAATGGGATAAATGGAGAAAGACTTCTCTTTCCCTCGCATTTCTTTGTATAACCAGGACCGCTTATGCTTCCAGAGTCCTGCAGTTCAACAGCACAACGGTTCTCTTTGTCTTGTTTTGTCCATGACACCTCTGCCTC